CATTTTTCTTTCTTTCTGTACATATTGTGAATGAAATGATTAAAATTTTTGTAATTTTTCTCTCGTACAGAGTGTCTGCTGATTTTACATATTTTGCATAGATTTAATAAATCAACAAGGTATTTTGAAAACACGATTCCAATGTGACAAAAATTGCAATACTTTTACGGTAATACGATTTTTTTCGTGTTCGCTATTGCTTTTTAAACGTTATGGCAGTTCTTTTGTTTCGCTTCGCTTGTTTTCGATGTAACATGGTGCGAATTAATGCGTTGTATTAAAAGAACAGGGTCGAATGTGTTTTTATTATTTTATACGAGTGAAAATATTGTTCTCTGTATTATTTTTATTTCGCGTTGTATTATATTATTCTTCCAACAGACATCTGTCAGTATTAATAAATTCTTTATTCAACGAACGAGAAAATTTCTTGAACAAGCAGTTTCTTAGTTGCTTAAAATTCTATCAAATTTAATGTTAAAAAATAAGACATTTCATATGTATATTAAAAAAAAAGAATTAAATAAGTAAATTTGAATGAATGAAATTAAGGGAATAACGTTTCCATTTATTGTTTAAAATATTCGAAATACTTGCGATATCTGGAGTTAATGGAATCCTCTGTATACCGAATGAAAAGTGCTTTCAAATTATGCAGAAATTTAATTAATATATTTCCAGTGAACATCGTATGAATTTCGTTCTATGAAGATATATTTTTATTCATTTTTCATTATTCTCATAACAATTTTCAAGCTTATGAAATTATTATTAAATAAATGTGAAGTAGTTCCTTGAAATATGAATAAGATATACGGTTTCCCTACCGTGACATCGTGATCGAGCATGAAGTATTTCCGGATCGGTAAAAGCCTAGGGACTTTTGACTGTAGTTCAATGATTGTCCGCGTTCCTCGAACGTAGCGCGCTTGGCTATCATCGTGCGTTCGTTTTAGTCGGTAAGTTAGTTACTTTACTATGGCTATAGGTAGTTTTCTTAATTGATCATAAAAAGCCATCCAATCTTCAATGTAAATTTAAAACTATTCGACTGTTTTAATTATACATTTTCCTAGGCCAAAGCCTTTTGACATTTAGAGAAATATGAATATTAATCGCGAGGTTTAATCGCTATAAATTAAATTAATAGCGTTTTATTTTTCGGTGTTCAAAGTGATTTGCTTGAATAATTAGGTGATGTTAAACAATGAAATTATTTATTTAGAATCTTTTTAGAAATTAATCAAGGCTGTTTTAATATTTAATATTTAAAACGTCACGTGAAATTTCGCGTTTAATACCTTATATTTAATATTATAGGTATGATTTGTAAATATTTTTAAAAGTTAATTAATATATATTAAGTCAATATAAAATTATATGAATTTTTTAACACGTTAATATTATTGCTACATTCTGGATGACCCAGCTTTTTCTTTATAGTAATTAATCATTTTGACTTTCATGCGTAAAGGTAGAAAACAACAGTCGTGAAAGTACAATGGAAAGCAGTCTTAATGAATATTAATTTCTCATTACGACCTTTTTAAACGCGTTCTTATAAGATTCCAGAAAACGTATTGTCAGAAATACCTAGAAAGCGTTTAGCGTACAGAAAATTGTAACAGAATAGAAAGCATATGCAACTTTCTATCTAATATATCTATTTTAGAGAGGAACATAGAAAATCACTCTTAAAGGAACTCGATAGGAACGAATTTTTATTTATACTTTCACATTTTAATCCGTTCTAGACATTCAATCTGTTACCAACTCAAACTTTTCTCAAATCAAATCCCTCTAATATCATTTCTTACGCGTAATTGAAAAAGATTTTCAAAATCGATATGAAATAGCGATACCTAAATTATCGAGACTTAAACAGAATCGACTAATCGGTAGATTTACTGCACGGTTCCGGAAGATCCTTCTTCATAGTCGTTTTTCAATTACGAAAAAGTTAGAAAGAAATTAACACAGGGATGCATCCCAAAGGACGTCGCGAAGTGTTTTCGACCGCTGGGTAAAAAGTCGTTGGCGGTCGTAGCAACAGCAACAGCAACAGCAGCAGCAGCATGGTAGTCACAATTACGAGAAGTTTGAGGAGGAAGGTCAGTGAGAAGTGCCATCGTGTCATTCTCCTGGCTTGAAAGAACGGCGCCGATGCGACGGCGATGCATTCGTACGAATCCGCGTCGCACGGCTTTTCAAGAGTTTCCTCAGTTTCCGTTTCTCTTTCACGTACTCTGCACCACTGTCTTCGAGGTTCGCTCGTAATTCCGCGATACCGAGCTTCCACGATTATAACGTCGTTTCCGTCGATATGCTTCACGACTTTTGACCATTGATCGCAAGAATCGTAGTTGACCTCTCGAACTCGTTTTTTTAATTTCTTTAATTAATCGGTTTATTGCATTATGCGCGATACGATGGGTCTGTCTCGGTCTGTAATTTGGACGTCAGTTTTCGGCTGGCGATGAGGATTGTTTCGTGTGACGAAAGTCGTCGGGAAAAGTTGGGTGGTAACGCTATGCTGGGAAGATCGTCGGTGGTTGAGGACTAGGAAATTTTCTTTATGGCTCGTGCAGAGGTCGCGAAGATTTTTCGTGGAGAGAATTTCGCAAGGTTTTGTATGAAATTGGTACGGCAAGCGAGGTATTTTGAAATGTTAAGTAGGTACGAGTTGTAGCGAGTTTTTGTTTATTTATTTGTTTATTTGTTCACGGGTTGATTCCCCTTGGCATTTATTTACAAGATTTACGCACTTTTTCTACAGACGTGTTAGAAGATTACACCCTTGCTTAGTACCCATTAATTAACAATTATAGACTGAAGTTCTGTTTGCGAGCTTTCAGCTATTTTATTTTCAACAGTAGAATAGGGGCAAGAAAGAAATCGAAAGAGAAGGTTTGAAAGTAGGATACTGCACTCACCATTGATTGGCCGAACTCGAACCACACGGCTAACAAGTATCGGATAATTGAAAGTTCGATTAAGAAATAAAAAATCTTTCAAACGAACTCGTCTCTTTTCTTGCCGCAGTTGTTCGAGCCTTTCTGTGTCAAAGTTTGATCATTGGATACAGTTTCTTTTCAAAAGTTTATTCAAAATTAAATAGAAAATTATTGCATTTCAAGTATATCGCCTTGACGAAATAACGAATCTTCCTCCATTTTTTAAAGTTAATTACATCCTTGCATTTTTAATAAATAAGAAAGTTTTCAATCAACCATCTTTTTATCACAGTTGTTTGTATCATTTTGTGTCAAAATTAAATTTCTGATTATAAATCTTTTCATTAAAAAATGTATCCATGAACCAAATAGAAAATTATTATAATTTCAATATTAGGTATATATCGTTTAGTCTAAATAATTAATCTCCCTTCATTTTTCGAAATTAATTTTATTCTCACGTTTGTAATATCTAAAAAGAATTCTCACGAGCCAGAAAACTATTTCATTTACATTGATTTATAATATCGTTAATCTACAAAGAATATTCGTGAAATAATTCAAAGAGTTGATTAATTAACCGTAAAATTAAAACGTTTTTACTTCAGGTCTCACGCGATTAGCGTTTTCCACGTATCCTGCGGTATCATAAGGTCGGGGTCTATCTTTCCCAAGAAAGCAGTTGCTTTTTCAATTAACGTTCGCTGAAACTTTACCTAACCTTTTGGAAACAAAATAGAAAACGAAGTTACGAATTGCTCGTTGAGATCCTAGTCGTTGTTCTCATTGACATATCGACAAGCTCCGTTACGTGAAGGAAGTTTTCAACATGCTGAAGTTTCGAACGACAGGACAACGAAAGTGCAGCTACACGGTGAGAATCTTAAGCGCCCAAGTAAAGTTTAATGAGTAAATTTCGATTAAGTGGAGTCATTTTTCTCGCGTGTCTTTCAGACGGTCTTTAGACGTAACTTGGGAAACGTAGAATTTTTGATAGCACGGAAATTCGATTGTTCACTCTGATTTTTATTAGACTGCTCGAGGAACTGCATTTATGGAAATTGTGGAATTTTATTAGTAAGAACAGTTAATCGGGTATTATCGTTTTTAAATAGGTTTTTCGATTAATGTTAGTGTCGAATATTTCTATGGGATGGGACATATGGTTCTCAGGACGTTTGGAGTTTAGGGTGTCTTTGGATGGACGAGACAAAGTATAGCTAGCGACAGCTTTGAATTTGTCATTTGTGATAAAAGTAACTGTGTATTTGACATTTTGATTGTAAGACTAAAAGTAAATGAAGTTTAAATTAATATCGTCGACATTAATAATTTTATAAATATGGAAATTGACAGAGAAAGGAATTATTATATGATATCATAAATGACATAACCACGTAGACGTTAGAGTTATTATGCTACAGTATAATAGAAATATTTATTATATCTAATAAAATAATTAAATTAAAAATAGATTTATCATAAATTAATATCATATTTTATAATATATCAATCCATAATATTATCTATATTAATATCTATTATCCTAGGATATAATATTCTGCAGAATGTTAACAAAATAATTATTAACCAAAATAATCGACGAACTCGTTAATCGTGAATGAAATATCCATTAATTAGTAAAAAATTTCATACTACTCCCACCAGATATAACATATTTCATTCCTTGTTTTCCACTCCCATTCTAAATGCGACTGTGAATCATACGAGCTGGTCATTTGTCAAATCGATTATTTTCTCAAAACGGAGAGCTGCCATTTGTTTGAAATATAGTGAAGAATTGAACACCAGTCAACGCGTTATTGGTACTAAAATTTCAGAAAATTCAGAAAATGGAGTTAATCGCATTGGTCAATGAACAATTCATATGTTTCCATGACGCATTTGCAGCATTTATTCGAACAGACCAGTTTAAGGTCTGAGATATCAACTCTCGTTCGCATTGAGAAATGAATCGAAGTACGTAAAACACACGGTTGAGAAATTTCATTCCAATTGAAGTATGAATCTGAATTTTCGTTGCAGGTTAATCCAGGCAGCAAGGCAGCTCAACAGGGGGTGAGAGAGGGTGATTTAATTAGTAGTATAAATGGAAGAAGTACCCGGGATTTAACGAACAGCGAGGCACATGCACTCCTACGAAACGCCGGCGAACACTTGAAGCTCGGTTTGAATCAGTAAGTCGTTTACATATTTTTCTCGCTGTTTTGTCAGATTATGAAATTGCCCACTTCGCAAATATAGACACTGCACAGGGAATGCACGATAAGTTACATTTCCCATATTCAACAGGAGTGCAGTTTTAAAATTCACTACCCTCTTCACTGATGTAGCTTTTGTGAAATTGTCTACTTACGAATTTATTAATACGAACATCAAAAATTTGACAATTATAAGCTTATATATCTTCCATGTTGTCTTTGTTCTATTGAAAGTATATATAATAAAATTTATTATACGAGAAAATATTTAAATGTTATTTCTTCGCATTTGAAAATATATTGTTACACATTTAACTAATGTAAATTTTTATCTTTTTGCAGGGAAAATATTGGCTCTCCGAAAAGACGAATTTATAGAAGTAGTTTACAAGAAAATACCACAGAAATTCTCAACAGTAAGTTTACTTCTCTTTTTCAATATGTTAATCATTCTAATATAATCATGACATGCAGGAATGTAACTATAATAAATTAACAGAGTTTATTTTCAAAAGTAAAATAAAGATTAAAATTACATTAAATTTCTAAATGAAAAATGTTTATAACGAAATATTTATAATAATAAAAATCATGTCCTTTTCAAATTCAATTATTTTCTTTGCACGTATAATTCGAATATTCTAATTTATTCGTAATAATTTTATGTCTATTATAAAATTTACAGTACATTGATATTTTGAATTTTTTGTATTACAGAGACAACGACAACGAAAACTACGACTTCATCGAATACCAGGATTATAACGACAGATACAAAGAAGAACGAAGCAAGTGAGTATCTTTCATTTTGTTGCTGCATTTTTATAAATCAATTATCCTTACATACAGCAATATTTTATATATAGTTGACATAAGGAATAGATAATAATAATTCTCTTTTATACCTCTGCATTTTCATCATATTAATAATTTAGGATTTGAAATTTTTTAAATAGAGTCAGGTTTCAAAAAGCATAAAAATTCTACTTTCCAAATTAGTAATAATAAAATTCACTTTATTAAGAACTAATATGATGATTGAATAAGGTTTCTACAATTTCTCGTTTATTTTCTCATGACTAATTCTTTCATTGAAAAGAGGTTGATATACAAATATACAGTGAACGTGGTTAAGGGCAACGTAATTTCTCGTCATTTGCATAGATTCGAAGCAATTTGTACACGTTTATCGTTATTTAATTACACTTGTTATTTAATTGAGCATGTGACACGCAATGGCTTATCGGACGATCGGTGGCTATACAGTAGTATATACTACCGAGTATATATGTAGACGCGTAATAAGCATAGTAGAGAAAATCAATTTCCCTATTGTTTACTTATGAAGCAGCAAATCAAAGTAAAAATTGATATAACAGACTGTATACGTGACATTTTAATCTTTGTTCGAATTTATCTCGAAAAATGTGCTGGATTGAATAAAATAAACATACGTGATTCAAGTATTCGTAACAGATTCTGTCAGTAATGAATATAGTAGTTTTTCGTATTTAGGTTAATAAATATTCGCAAAGCATTAAAATGAATTATTGCAATTTTTCGTTTCCTTTTTCAATAAGCAATTTTAAATAAGTTGCTATATTTTTTAATTATATCAAACTTATATTCGTAACGTCACAAACGTTAAAAAAAAAGAAACAATATAGGAAGCCATTTAAGATCTGCGGAAAAATAACTTTATCCCAAAATCGTATAAACCGCACAGAATTGCGAATAAAAAAGTTAGCTTTCCGAAAGTCTCTCACATCCCCAAAAAACATTTCACCCAATACCACAAATCAGGCAATCCCGAATGCCGCGACATCCAATCCCGAAACTCGGTTCCCTGACCGACAGATAGCCGGCGGATCACTGGCAATTAATCGCAATTTCGTTGATCGATCAGAAGTGCCGTAACTCGGCCTTATCTGCACGATCTCGCCGCGTCGGCCACGAGCGATATAACGCCGCGACACTAGCGCCGCGCATGGAAAAATGGCGACGCGCGCGGTCAGTCGTCGTGACTAAGCCGATCGCTAGGATTCCAGACAATGACCCTCGAATTAACGCTTGGACAAAGCGTCGCGAACGAGACACGGCATCGGCGCGTGTATCTCAACCAGATCCCCAACGTGCAGACCTCTTTACTGCGAATCGGCGTGTCGTCACGCGACGATGGACAGACGTGTACTCACGGTTCACTTATGCCCAACGTTCGTGCATGGCCGCGAACACTGGCAAACGCCAACCCACACACCTGCCGCCGGTCACACGAACGAAACGAAGCGTGCAAGGTGCACCTGCGACCACAGCGATATGTTTCGTCTGTGTTTCCAAGACGATGCCGCACCCTCCTTCACTTAGAAGACGCCCTAGAAGGTGACCCTCTTCCTCCTTTTCGAACCACCGTCCGATCCACCTCTCTGTCAGTGCTCGTACACGCTTTGTCCGGCGTGCTCTGGCGAAATCGTCCCGATTCGCTTTCGTTTTCGGATACGCCGCTTTCTGTACTCGAGGTTCCGAGGTTCGATCCAACGGTGCAACGGGATCTTGTACGGTTAAGGTGGGAAAGTCGCAGGCCTGAACGTGTCGTTTTGGTTCGGTTCTCGAGTACGTCGACGGTACTAGATTGGCGAGCAAGTGGTCCAAGGGGCACGTGTTGACGACGATCTAGGCTGTCTTGGAGACCGCGACTGTGGGGTTTCGTCTATTCTCGTGCGGCACTGGATCCGCTTGGAACGAAAACGATTTTCAAAGATGTACTTGGATGGGTGACGTGTAATTGCAGTGCCGAGGATTCGAGTCGATTTGCTGAAAATCGCTGGTTACGTGTGAAATGGTTCTGCGAGAATCGTCCAGCTTTGTTGGTACTAGATGAGTTTCTAGAGTGTGGAGTTTGGGTGAACGAGGGATCAAAGAAACGAAATTTCGCGTACAATATATAGAAGTGTAGATCGATTCGTCGGTTCCATCGTTGCTAATGGAAAATTGCCACTTTGCTATGGTCAAAGGTCCTAGTCTTTAAGCGAAGATTCAAAGAAGATACGGAATTTCGTATGATAGAATGTTCGTCAGTAAAAATCCTCTACCTTGCTGTTACTAGACTAGATGTATTTGCAAAGATAAAATTAGCGTTAATCGACTAAAATTAGTGTCGGTTTCAATATTATCAGTAGAAATTCTCTGCTTGGCTATTATTGGAGCCCAGAATTTGGCCGAAGCAGGATTCAAAGAATCAGAATTCTACGTAAAAGTGTATTTACAAAAATAGAAATTGAGTTCGTTCATCCGACAATTTCAACGTTATCGGTAAAAACTCGCTACTCTGCAACTGCCAGAGGCCTCAAACAACGAGTGAAGATCAGAGAAACAGAGTCTTGTATAAAAGTTTGTTTACAAAGGTAGAACCGAGTCTGTTGGTTGGCCGGTTCCAGTACCGTTCGTACAAATTCGAGTATAAACTATAGAAGACACGAAATTCGAAGCATTCGCGACGAGGATTACGCAGCGTTGCGTGGCCAATCGATCGGAACCGTGTCAATAGAGGAACGAGCAGCGAAAGGGAAGCTGGAACAATGTTTCACAAGCTGGAGCGGATAGTTTGGATAATTAACGTCGAAAGTAAAACGAGAAATTGAACTAACGGGAAGTCTCGCATCGCGATCTGTTCGCGTAACTTTCGCGCTTTGCTCTGCTCTGCCGCCGAACGCATTACGCAGTTGAATTACGTAATTCAGGCCGGAACTATTGGATTCATCGGTGATTGAAAACGGATATGCTTCTTCGATCACAATACCTCGCAATTCTAGCCTTAATGACCGTTTCGTTGTGAAACAGGTGTCTATGGTTTCCCTGTAATCGTCGGGAAACTCGAAGCTGGAACAACGATAGAGCAACGACGCGGATAGGGGAGCGAGCTAAAAATCGGAAAACTCGATACAAAGCCAGCCCGATATTGAGGCTTGTACACGCGTGAAACAGATTTCCAAGGTAAATCCGTTCTCGCGGTTCGATTGCAATGTAAACGCGAAATCGTTTTCCGACCGCATCAGCTTTCCGTCAAGATACGTTCCCTTGGTGCTTCGCCGAGCAAACGAGATCCCCTGTGCAACGACCACTATCGCGATTTTCCACCAGCCACGTCCAGGTTCACGGGTTCAGGGTTTAGAAACAGCTTCGAAAATGAGATTCTTCGATTGCTCGCGATGCCTGACTGGTATGAAAGAGACGTCCTCTACTCGGTCCTCCTCTCTCGAGGCAACGGACCCATTAGTCACCAGCGAACGACCCTCTAAACGCCCGATGTCCTCGAGTTCTTCGAGGAAGGTATCATTGATCAATCCAGGATCACGATTTCTGGCGATGGTTCGTTCTCTGCGCGCGTCTTGGAGACGCAGTAGGCGACCCAGGCCTAGAACGAGGCTAGAGGTTCATCGAAGATCGAGAAAGAGGAAGCTATCGAGGAAAGAGGTCGGTTCGAGTTCGAGACGGGACGAGGATGCAGCTGTGGCGAGGACTGTGGCCAGAAAAATCGAGTCGAGGTCGGGAATTCTGAAGGCGAACGTGGAGACCGGGTTAACTAACGGCAGAGTGGTTGACGGAAACGGAAGGAGCGGGCTCAGCCGGAGGGAGCTCGAGCGTGAATACTACGAGCAGCTGGAAGCGCTGAAATTTCTCATCGAGCCGCCGGCTTGCTTCAGGAACGACGAGACCAGGCAGAACTTCGAAAACAAGCTAAACACGTTGGACCTTAGGAGGATGAATACCGTGGCCATACCGACTGGCGAATTTCCCGAAGCCGCTGCAATTTTACGTGACTGGTCTCGGGCGAAAAATGTCGATGAGGGTGGAATGGCAGAGAGAAGAAAACCGAGCCTAGAGGCTCTGTACGAGGATAGGCTGGACGAACGATTGAATATCGAGAGAACAGTGATCGATCTACTCGTTCGCGCGCCTATTCTGAAGAATAGAAAAGTGCAGGCTGTCCGGGGTATTCTCTTCAATGCTGCTAATGAGGGAAAAAGCGTGCGCTTCAAGGATGAACACGTGGATGGGGAGATGTTGGATGGGGTACGGTCTAGGGTGAGGGATGTGAATGTCGAGAAGGGAGACACAAGTTTGGGGAAAACGTCGAAGGAGATGGAACGTTGCATCATGTTTGGAGGGAGAGACGAAGTCGGCGAAACTGATGGAAACGACGTGTTATCGAAAAATGGACGGTGGATCGGAGATGTCTGTTCTCAGGGGAACTTGGGTTCGCTGTTTGATGTCGCTGTAACGAATGGTACGGTTTTTATTTATTCCTCGAAGTTAGGGGGGATTTTGGGGTGTCGCCTAATTTTTGGTCATTTCTTCTAGAGTAATTTTATAATATACGTTTTTGATATTAATAAATTTATTATTGATGATACATAGAATTTGTTATCGATAAATTTTATAGTTGTTAAATACGTACATTTTAAATTCACGTTTCTTAATTTATACATTGAAGGATAAGGAGATATTCTATGAAGAGGGTTGAATTAAGAATGTAGGATTAACGATAAAGGAAATCAAATATGTATACGCCTATCTGAAACATAAATATGTAAAAATTTAAACACGAATATATAATAATTACAACAGAGAGATATATGTATAACAATACTGGGTTTTGAGACATCAAAAACAGACAGAACAACAAGAACAGAATAACACAAACACGAAACTCATAAAATTAAATTAACTTAGGAAAAGAACACCAAGATAACGCAACGAAAACACACAAAGACGCACTCTGATTTAACTCTATT